AGAGACAATACAGATTAGGTAAAAAGAAATGGGACAGAACAAGACATACAAGTATATATGTTGCCCAACTTAAACTGTGTCGACAGTTAATCAGTTAATTGTATTGTTTGGCTTTCATCAGCATTCTAAATTGCACACACCAGAACTTATAATGAATATAATAAAATATAACATAAAAATGTACGAGTGCTTGCATGTGTGTGTGTGTGTGTGTGTGTGTGAGGGTGTTTGTGAGAGAGAGAGAGAGAGAGAGAGAGAGAGAGAAGGGAAGGGAAGGGAAGAGAGATCATTGTAAATGTTATTACGTCCCCATCGACACAATTTAAAAGAAGTTGTGGCACGGACTGGGGCTCCAAAGGACGTTCTCAGCCACCGAGACAGGTCATAGGTCACAGGTCACAGGTCACAGGTCACAGGTCACATGAGCCAAATTACAATGATGCTGCCGGTCAAGGCCAACCTCGAGCGAGTGAGATATAGTATCACAGCAGACAAACGGAGATACTCGATAGAAACTTACCCTCTCGGGAATGGAACGTAAGTCTTCTGCGTGCTACTATGAACAGCATAGTCATGGCACCACAGACGTGTCTCCTCTTTTATACGGGGTGCCCACTACGGAAGGGATCGCCCGACTCGATCGCCTCAAAAACAAACGTGTTTGTTTTCAGTTTCAGGCGATCGAGTCGGGCGATTGGCCCGATCTAGCCGTAGTGGGCACCCCGTATTACTCTTATGGTGTAATAATTGCCTTGTGGTTAGGGTCTCTGACTCGCACCCGTACGGTTGTGGGTTCGAATCCTGTTACCAGGTGTGAATGGGTACACTGCCAAAGACAGCGAAAAACTTTGTCAGTTTATTAGTGTTCGAATGCAAGCAATCCGCAGCTTGTATTGTATGCTTCCCGGGAAGCCGAAAATTTTTCTGAGTGTTCAAAGATCAGCAAGGGTAATAGTGGTTGTAAGGCGCAAAGAAAGGGGATAAAGGGATATGCGCTATATTAATGCATATCTATATATGTTATTTTTTACCACAAAAGCTAATAAACAGGTATACGTGATTGAGGTCTACTGTGTGTCGTCTGTGTAAATAACAAGCTTAATTGTAATGGTATATTATAAGCTCACTTATATATGAGTAAGATCGTCTGTGTGCCGCCTGTGATATCTGACCAAGCGCAAAAGGGGACGTAAAATATTTGCAATCCACTCTTTATCTTTCTATGTTCCCTTCTTCCTCATTCTTTACTCTAACAGTTGAGCCAAGAGCTCTGGCTTAAACACCTGTCTAAATTATACAATTGTTGTTGATTTTTCAACGAGGTTGATCTGTTGAGCATGTATGTAGTTCGTATTTGTCCTCCAGAAAGACAGGTTGACCTGTCAGACCGTCATAGTAAACTTCTTCACACGAGCTCGGGGCAAGAAACTCCCCCTTGAAGGATTCGAATCTGAGTCAAGTACGAAGACGTCAAGTGTTCACCGAGCTGAGATAAAGGTCTGCCAGCTCCTTGCGCTAATAGTACTTCCAACAAACGTTCGGGTGTTCAGACGGCATTTGGTAGGAGTGCGAAAAGTAATGAGAGAGAGAGAGAGAGAGAGAGAGAGAGAGAGAGAGAGAGAGAGAGAGAGACGGGGGGGAAATGGTGAAATGGTATGAGTTTAACGCCCCCCTATCAACACTATTAGGTTATTTAAGAGGCGGGACCTCCTAATTTAACGTCCGTCTCCGATAGGACCGAGCCAAGTGGGAAGTTCGTGTAAAGTGCCTCCCCCAAGGACACAACGTCGGACCGAGCTGAGGTTCGAACCCCCGAACCCGCAATCTCACGATTACGAGTCCGGTAGCCTAACCACTAGGCTACCGACGCCACGAAACAGACAGAGCAAGAAAGAGACCAAGAAAGGAGAGAGAGAGAGAGAGAGAGAGAGAGAGAGAGAGAGAGAGAGAGAGAGAGAGAGAGAGAGAGAGAGAGAGAGAGAGAGAGAGGGGGGGGAGAGAAAGAGAGAGAGAGGGGGGGATGCGAGGACGATGGCGAGAGACAGAGAGCAGGAAACAAATAGTAAGATATTGGTATACATGCATAAAAAGAGGCCTATATCTCCAATTCGACTTAAGTAGTTGATGAGAGTCACCGGCACTCTGTGATCTCTATCTACGTGTGACGTGTATTCAGAAGCGAAGCGTCTATATAATCAAATAATCACTGTTTCCCTTCCTAATTTTGAAACATTGTCGCAATCAAATTCACCCATAAACGTAAACTTCATAAATCAAATGTAAAAAGACTTTCATAATCAACAATGAACAGTATGCCTAACATTCTAAACGGTTTCATTGCCACAGAAATAGCCTGTTCACCCCTCTTGGGCCACTCCATAAGCAGTCACAAGCTTTGAATAAGTAAGCTTAAAGTGATACTGGAAGAGTCTACCAACAGATTTGAAGGGAACATGCATAGCAGTCAAAACTGTTTCATTGCCACGTATACCCTGTTCACCCCTTTCGGGCCACAGTTATAATCAGTCTCAAGCACTGATTAGGTAAGCTAACTATTACACTGGTCGAGTCTACTTCACAGATGTGAGGGGAACTAACTCCTAATAATCTCTTGACTGCTGCGAGTGCTTGTTTTTTCCCTCGACTTTTTATTGCCCTATAATCAGATCGTGACCTCGATTATGACACAGGCTCGTGGCCAAGAAAGGCTAGACAAAAACAGCCAAATGTGAAATTTAAAAAATTATATTTGTCAGGTTCTACCTAAGAGTTAGGCTCCCTGGTAGATCTATAACATATAAATCTAGTACTGACATCTCTGCTTCTTTGCTTTGTGTTTGTGTATTCACATCTAAAGTTAAATTTAATTTTAATTGGAATTGATTTTTAATTAGATACTTTCCCAATCATTTTGGCGGTTGAACATACAATAATTATAATGAATTCCGGATTTGTTTTCGTTCACAACTCTGAGTCGCCGCCTCGAGCAAGGTTCTTGTGTGATATCCCCAGGCCATATCTGGTCCCGTTTCACTTTGATTACCCTGTCAAACAAGTCAGCCTTCTCCCCTGCTTGTATTTACTTTTTCCTAGGCCTTATGTCTGGTATTTGATATCAAATCAATGCGCTTCTGTTTGTGAACTTCACAAAACATAACCTGACACCACTGAGCCAGGAGCTTGGAGACCAATACAATTCCTTAAACAAGTTAAACAAACAATGGTCAGGGTCCGCTCAGGATCCGAACTGAGGTTGTCCGTACTACACTAGGGTAGGATAAGCCATGACCTCAACCCCCCCCCCCCTCCCCTCTCTTTCTCTAGCTGATACCAAGGGTGTCAGTGGTTGCAAAATAGTGTTGGAAATAGTCAGACAAGAAAAAAAAGGAAGTAACTGGATCTATGTATGGTTTGTGAACTGATTTTGGACAATCTTATTCAAAAGAAATGGTATGCCTACTTTTGACACATTAAGATCATTTGGGAAGTGGGTTGTTCGACCCTACTTTACATTGCAGCCCGTGTTGTGTAGTATGCACCGTAGAGAAGGCTAAGTGACTGCATAAAGTGGTTACAAAACTTGGGAATCGAACGCATACTCGTATTATTTTGTGCTTGTTAGGTAAAGAGGCGATCTACTAAACCACAACCGCTGTTTATTTCAGGATGATTGAACACTCTATAATGTTTTACCATTGTATTGTGAAGAAAGATTAAAATAATGTTTATATGCCCTTATTGTGTTGCAAGTACTGTAAAACTATAACTTAAACTTTTTAAAAGAACAATGTTCCTACCAGAGGGAGAGAGAGAGAGAGAGAGAGACAGACAGACAGACAGACAGACAGACAGACAGACAGACAGACAGATAGACAGACAGACAGACAGACAGACAGACAGACAGACAGACAGAGGGAGAGAGAGATAGAGAGAGAGAGGGGGGAGAGAGAGAGAGAGAGAGAGAGAGAGAGAGAGAGAGAGAGAGAGAGAGAGAGAGAGAGAGAGCTTTTCAAATCTGCTAGCGGTCCGAATTTTTTTTTAAATCTTAATTGCAAGTTTTCCTGGTCTCCCGTCCGCTTCCCCCCCCCCCCCCCCAACCCCCAGTTCTATGACCTCTTCCCTCCCCAATTCCATCTCATACCGCATTTTATCATGACTATTTTGCCTTCAAAACGTCCCACATATTTAATACATGGACGAAATAAAAATACAGAAATCAGGCAACAAGAGAAGCTTGATAAACAGAGTGATTACAGGAATAACATGAAGAGACAGGAATCACCAGTAATCCAGGATTAAAGAGTCCACAGAACTCTTTAATGAAAGGATTTACAACATTATAAGGGCGGTAAAATAACATAATATTATTACGGTAGTATGACCTGGCATGGGGAGAACAATGCACCTCTTGCTTAAGTTGTTTTAGGAGGCAGGACCCACAATGTAACATTCTCTCTCGCAAGACAAAGCCAAGTGTAAGTAAGTGAAGGGCCCCGGAACAATTTGAAACACCCCAAGCTCTGGAACACCCGAACACGGATACAAACCAAAACCCTCAGTGGTGTGTAAAAGATGCGCAAATCTGAGGCCTCCTTTCTCTTCGGGGCCACATGTGGGTTATGAGACGCCATCAGCGAAAGACAATTTTAGTTTATATTAAGAACTGGGGTGGGGCGAATTGCATTTGTCCTCCACGTTGAATCCTGCATGATGCCAACTGAGTAAACAATGAGACCCGTGAACACGACTTCTCTCGAGGGTAGGAGGAACCTGGGGTGCAAATATTTCAAAACATGAATAACAGATGAAAGAGCCTTGTTCCTTTGCTATTGTCCTGAGCTCCAATGACTTTAGTATAAGACCCAAAAAATGTTCATTCCTGAGACACTGTTATGATTATAATGTTTATGCCTCCTTCGACACAATTCAGACATTTTGGATGTGAGGCGGCTGCTTGGTCCCTTCCAGTCAGGGCCAACTAGGGTTGAGTGGGATATGGTATCCCTTCACGGAGTTGAAGAAATCCCATAAAATAGACTTCCTCTCTAGCGAATCGAACTGACGTCTTTTTTGCGTGCAACGACATAAAGTATAAAGCCTAATAACAGAAGTGCATTAGTCAAATAGACCCAATCAGCAAAACCAGATCGGATCGGGTTGAGTCAGTATCATACTTCTGACTCGGCAAATAGCTAGCTATTGTTGATTTTGCGGCTGTTGTTGTTGTTGTTGTTGTTGTTTTTACCTAATCGTGTCGTCTTTTCCTTTATTGCCATGTTTACCCTACCATATCATCATCTCTATCTTATTGTATCGTGTCTTTCCTTTTCCTTATGTTGTATCCTACCCTAACTTACTTATCCGATCTGATCTGAAATATCATATTACGTTTGAAGTTTATTAACTTCTCAAATAATCATATCATCTTACCATCTCAGATCATATCGTATGTGTTTTTTGTTTTCGTAACTTTGCCTAATACATGTTTTAAAAATCATTTGATCACACACGTTTCTTTACCGTGCTTTATCTTTTTCAATTTTCTTTTCATTGTATATACTTTCATTTATTTAAGGTGTCATGAATTGTCTGATCCACAGTATCATAATATCATATCTCTTATACATTATTTATCAGATAATAACATATTGTATTTGTCATATCATGCCATATCATATGGTAATGGTAAAGCATCATAAAATAGATTAGAATATATTTTCAAATGTTGCTATATATCACCTTTTCTTCTGCTCTTGTACGTCAAGCCTACGAAATAACCGAGGAAAGCTTGACAACAATATTTACGTGTTCGGTGAAGATTGAAGAAGCAGATCATACGTATTGTTATATGGACTACTGGGAAGAGCACAAGAACACTCGAATCCCTTCGTCCTCATCCTTTGAGTCATTAGCGGCTTGTCTCATTGTCCAGGAGTCTTTGTTTCCAATAATCAGCTTCATCTTGTTGAGATAACTTTTGCGAACGGTCTGGAAGACATTCACACCGTTGGAAGCGGAAGAGGAAGAGTCCAGAAGATAATTTCTGACAAACTCTGTTCGCCCTCCTCTGGCTTTGTAGCCCGGTTTAAAGACTTCGGTAGTCACCTGGTACACGGGTTTAGCACACCCATGTTTCCGTGGCGACGGTGTAGGGCAACCAATTTTGTGAGAGGAACTGTGAATCGGCCAGACGCTGTTAACAGGAGCCACCGCCGTGCTCGCAGGCGTCGTACAAGTCATCTCGCACTCCACATCCGTGTTCTGCAGTCCGGTTTCAGGGGATGGACACTGGGCTGTTCCGAAGCAGGCGTCGGGGTTTGAGCCCTGGGGTGAGGTCGAGAAAAACATCGGAGGCCAGGCAAAGATCTTTTCATCGCTGCAATAGACGTTTCCGAGATCCATTGGGGACGGCCGGCGCTCGGGAGAGACTTGTTGACAAGACTGAGACTGGTATAGTGAGGAGTATGGTACGGGGCATTGTGGGGGGCATTGTGTGGGATGAGGCTGGAGAAACGATCCTGGAAGTATCCTTCTTGAAACCTGAGGGCATACAGTTCTCTGGAAGCAGGAGTTAAGCGCTTTTATTGGACACAAAGGAGGACGACGTGGGCTGGTGGATCTCTCCGGGCACTGTGGCGGGGATGTCTTGCAGTTCGGGAGGGATGTTTTCCTAGCCAACAGCCGCGGGTACCGACCAGGGCATGGGGTGAACATCTGAATGTTGGAGCCCAGTGTGGGCGTGCTGAAGGCGTGGCGGCCTGGGCAGCCCTTGCTAAGAGATGGCGTCGTTATTGGTGATGGCGGAAAGAAAAATGGTCGGACGCACGGAACGCTTGGAGATTGGTATCGGCCTGGGTAGTCTCCCATTACCCCAACAATCTCTCTGGCGGAGGTAGGTAAATGCATGCTCTCTGGTGGAGTAGAAACCGACCTTGACATGTTAGGAATGTCTCTCTGTCTTCGGAGATCTTTAGAGCTTGCCGACGATGAGTGATCCAAGTCATTTCTCTGTGCTCTAGGTGACACTTGTTTTATCCCACTGAATCCTTGTTTCACAGCGTAAGGCTTGGTGGGGCCTTCTCGGTGAACTTTATCGCCATTGTTAACACTTTCGCTCTTGTGCCTACTCCTGCTTTGCTCATGTCTCTTGATCCCATTTCCCGTTTTTCTATTTTTGGCTCGCTCGGGTTTATAATTATTCTGCTCACTCGTGTCTGAGTCCGAAGAACTGCTTTGTTTGCTCCCGTATACATCATCAGACGTGCTCTGGGTGTCTCCATCCTCTCCCTCTAAACTGCCTTCTTCACTTTTGCTCGATTTGCTCGACTCCTTTTGCTCGCCATCTTTTTCCTTCCAATATTTTCTTCTCTTATTTTCTTTCCGTTCTTCTGACTTTGATCTCGCATCCTTATTTCTGTTCCCCGAGTTCTTTCGCGTAAAATCGTATCTCTTCTTAAGTGTCCCCTTTTCACTTTCCTTTCTTTCTCTGGACTTCTGTCGTTCGCTATTTTTAGATCCACTGGATTGCTTCCGTTCATTGTATATATTTCCTGATCTTCTACTCCGACTTTCGTCCCTTCTCTCCGTCGTCATTCTATCACTAGCAAAGATTTCTGTTTCTTCAGATTCTCTTCGTTCATTCTGGTCCATCCCATCAAATGTGTTTCTGTCATCCGTGTTGCTCCTTTCTGACTTCTTTCGTTCTTCCACCGACAAATACCTCGACTGCCTATTCTTAGTCGAAGATCTCCTTTGCTCTTCCTTAAAGCTTCTCTCAGACTTTTTTCGAATCTGTCCTTCGTCTTCTTCAGATGAGCCTTGTTCTTCTTCATTGCCTCTCCCGGATTGTCTCTTTCCTTCTCTTTTTCTTTCATTGTCCCTACCTTCTGACCTCTTTCCATCGGCCTTTTTCCTGTTTTCCTCAAAAAAATCTTCTTCATTTCCTTGCGACGGTATATACCCTCGATCCCCTCGTGACTCTTCCATCGTTTCCCTATTTGCAGCCGGCAGATTCTCGTGCATTTCGGACTCCATGAGGGAATCACCAAAAGTGGTGTCCGAGATATCTGCTTTTGGGGCATTTCCTCTTTCTTCGCGGTTCGCCTTGGCAAATTCAGGTGAGGAAACTACGTTAACTCTATGGTGTTTGAGATGAGAGCCCGTGTCTGTCTGGCAGCTGCGCTCTCTCACTATCTGGACCCGTGGGTCTTCGGTCTGAGAGGCTAAGTTCTGGTAACTAGCACTGCTCAATTCATGACTGTTTTTCCGGGGTGGCCATGGGTCGTAGGGAGCCGGGGTACTCACGTGACTCATGACGTCAGTGCTTTGTTCGAACCTGATATTCCTTGGGCTCAGTCGACTGCCAGAGAAGCGTCTTTCCCCCCTGGTAACTCGACTTTTATCGGATTTGAAATAACCTTTTGGTGATAGATCGGGGCGCAAAATTGAATGGCATGATATTAGATTTGGAGATGATTCAAAGGATGATTGCTTGTAGGTGCCTCGTGGTGGTCTCTCTGGTGGCCCTGGCGAGGTCACATGACGCGTGTGTCGGGTAGCGACTTCCGGGGAGATGAACAATTTTAATGGAGCTTCAGACTTCAGATTTGACCGCGGTGAACCCGAAATCTGTGAAATCTCGCTGAGAACTGCTGCTGTCAAACTGCTACCCCTCAGAGCATCGCTAACTTTAGCAGTGTTCCATGACGGGCTCCCATTCTGGCCAGTCTTAGACTCCTTGATCTCGCTGTTTCTCCAGGTGGGGCTGCCACCCTTGCCCGGTGACCCCTCATCAAACCAGAGAAGGTCATTCGGAGGAGAGCAGTTATGTAATAGAGAACTTCTCTGAGGAATAACGCCACTCCCGGGACCTGACCTCCCACCAACGGTTGCCCCCTGGGTCACTTGTAACCCTTGTAGGAAGAGAGAAGAAGGAGGTCCCGTTGGATCAATTCCTCCGTTGTTTGCCTTTCTCTCCTGTACTGTGTTGAGGAGTTCACTCCTCTCGTACGAGCTGAGTACACGGAGGGCTGTCTCTAAATCTGGACCGGTCGTCTGGGAAGAACCGGGTAAATGTTCCGAAACATTCGGACCTTTTCCATCGTAGACAATGGAGAAATTCTCATCGCTTTCTAGGAAAGACGACCGTTTTTTGGACTGCCCGTCCTTTGACCCCAGTATGCTTTGGGGCTTTGTGTCGTTCCAGACATTTTGGATGACGTCATAGAAAGTTTTATCGGATGTACGAGTTCTAATTTCGGGAAAGGTGGGGTTTATGTTTTCATCTGGCGGTCGCTGGTGACGAAACCCATTATCGGCATTGCTGCGGGGTGAGTTGCCTGCTTGCCGCTCTTCGCTGATGATCTGGACAGCCTTGTTCCTGTTCTCACTCAGCCGTGGAATCGAACTACCTGCACTTTGTCCAGGTACCACGCTATCCAGATTTTGTGCTGGTACAGAACTAACCCTAAACTGATTTGATACAGCAATCCCTGCATTTTGCCCTGATATCGCACCATCAGCATTTTGTCCAAGAACCAAATCACTTCTTTGCTTGGCTATCAAGTTATCCGAATTCTGTCTTGATATTTGGCTAATCATGGTCTTCCTTGGTGTTCCGAAACTTTTTCCAGTGCTCACCATTCCACTTCCTGTTATTTCGTTTGGTTCTCGACTACCCCCATCCTGATTTGTCTCTGGACTTCCCACATTGTATTTTTCCACAACATTATCTATATTTTGCTTTGGCGAGTGAGCAACGATACTGTGTCGTGGTGAGAGTGAGAGAGGAACAATACTTTGCTGTGGGGAGAGAGAAACAAAACTTTGCTGTGGGGAGAGAGAAACAAAACTTTGCTTTGAAGGTTTAGTTGCCACCGTTTGTTTTGGTGACTGAGGAGGCACACTTTGCGTCGACGATGTCATAGCAACACTTTGCTTTGGTGAGAGAGAAACAATACTTTGCTTCGATGACTTAGTAGCCACATTTTGTTTTGATGACTTTGCAGTCATATTTTCCTTTGGTGACTGAGCAACCACATTTTCTTTTGATGACTGAGCAGTTACATTTTGCTTCGGCGATGTCATGGCTATACTTTGCTTTGGTGAGAGAGAAACAATATTTTGATTTGATGACCTAGCAGCCACACTTTCCTTTGGTGACTGAGAAGTCAGATTTTGCTTTGATGACTGAGGATCTATACTTTTCTTTGATGACTGAGCAGTTACATTTTGCTTTAATGACTGAGCATCTATACTTTCCTTTATTGACTGGGCTGACTGGGCATTTATACTTTTCTTTGATGACTGAGCAGTTACATTTTGCTTTAATGACTGAGCATCTATACTTTCCTTTATTGACTGGGCTGACTGGGCATTTATACTTTTCTTTGATGACTGAGCAGTTACATTTTGCTTTAATGACTGAGCATCTATACTTTCCTTTATTGGCTGGGCTGACTGGGCATCTATACTTTCCTTTATTGACTGGGCTGATTGGGCATCTATACTTTTATTTGATGACTGAGCAGTTACATTTTGCTTCGATGACTGAGCATCTACACTTTTCTTTGATGGCTGAGCATCTATACTTTTCTTTGATGACTGAGCATCTATACTTTTCTTTGATGACTGAGCATCTATACTTTTCTTTGATGACTGAGCATCTATACTTTTCTTTGATGACTGAGCAGTTACATTTTGCTTTAATGACTGAGCATCTATACTTTTCTTTGATGACTGGGCTGATTGGGCATCTATACTTTTCGTTATTGACTGGGCTGACTGGGCATCTATACTTTTCTTTGATGACTGAGCAGTTACATTTTGCTTTGATGAATGAGCAGTGTCACATTGCTTTGATGACTGAGCATCTATACTTTTCTTTGATGACTGAGCAGTCACATTTTGCTTTGATGACTGAGCATCTATACTTCTCTTTGATGACTGAGCACCTATACTTTTCTTTGATGACTGTGCAGTCACATTTTGCTTTGATGACTGAGCAGTGTCATTTTGCTTTGATATTTGAGCATCTATACTTTTCTTTGATGACTGAGTATCTACACTTTTCTTTGATGACTGGGCTGTTACTTTTTGCTTTGATGGGAGAGCATCTATACTTTTCTTTGATGACTGAGACTGAGCAGTTATACTTTTATTCGATGACTGAGCAGATACATTTTGTTTTGGAGAGTCAGTAACTACACTTTGCCGTGGCTTTTGACCGCCCACATCTGAGATTACCTCCCCACTTGCTACAGAGGATTTCGATGTTCGGTCTTGACTGCTTCGCCTCTTTGAAAAACTATTGGCAAGTTTCTGTAAAATGTCCTTGTGCAAGCTCTGCTTTGGTGCTGCATCCTTGGAGTTGCGTTTTGGGGGTTCATGGACCGACGTTTCTTTTTTATCCTGACTAACAACACTGTCCTTTTTCACAATAGTATCTGTACTGACTCCGGTCTTGTTTGCTCCAAGTGCTTCGTTCTGCTGATTTTTCCTGTGTACTTCGTCTGTTCCTGAACCGGGAACAGCTGACATCTGTCGGTCACTTTTCATGGATTGTCCACTAACTCTCTGCACCGAGTCTGGCGTGGGGGAACTTTGGTGGCCCTCCTTCTGCTGGCCACCGGCGCTCCCCACGCTCTGGCTTGGTGTTTGGTTCCTTGTGTTGGACTTTTGAAGTTCTTGGGTGGTGTTTTCTTTCGGCGTTGCAAGTTCATTACTTTGTTTCGATACCAGACTTCCAGCACTTTGTTTCGGTTCTGTGTCGTCAACATTTTGTTTCAGTACCGGAGTGCCAGCGGTTTGTTGCGACACATGACTTGGTGTGCTTTTCATTTGAACACTTTTCTCTGAGCTTTTTGTGAGTTCTGGTTCGGTTTGCGTACTTTTTCTTGGTAATTCAGCTTTATCGCTTCGAGAATCACTTGCCTTCTTCCGGTCAGCTGGGCTGGATTGTTCACTATTCTTCTCTGTCAAGCTAGGCCTGGGAAGACTCTGGCGAGAACTCGATTGCCCACTGGCGGACCCTGGAGATTTCCGATGTCGTTTAGAAATCGTGCCCAGGTGGCGTGCATCTTGCCTCGATGAACGTCCACGGGAGCAAGGCGAGAGTTGGGTACGTGGCGTGTGCACTGCGGTGCGATGTTGCTTTAGATAGGGCAGTGACGTGATCGGGGATACTCTCCCGAGAGCAGGGGCAACAGTGAAGCTCAAAGGGCTGATGAAACGTGTTTCTGAAATATCTTCTTCGCTCGAGTTTTCCTCTGGTGAGATTTGGTTTCCGGATGTAAGTTTGCCCTCGTCGTTGTCGGAATTATCAGAGTGGTAAACAGTGACAGATGGGTTCGACTCGCTGGACCCAGGTAGCACTGGAGTGAGTCTGTTCCCCATCTGAGATACGTCGTTTTCGAGCCCACCTAGACAGTCAGCCATATCTTCAATTTCACAATAGAGGCTTATTTCACTTTCTTCGTTCGGCTCCACTTTCACGTCCATTTCAGGAAGTTTTACGCCGGAATAAGTCCGCTCAGTGAAAACTACTTTTTCAAACGACGATGGCTTCACTTGTGGTGTGTTGTTGGTGTCAAGTTCAGGGGAATGGGAGAGGGCTTTTTCTCTTTGTTTTGTCGCCCCTGTACTTCGAGTTTGAGCTTTCCTCTTAGAACAGCGAAGCTGTTGCCTTGATAATATTTGTTGAGAATCGAGACTTTTCCTGGCACACTTGCCTGCCACGATGTTAGGTTGAGTTTCATAATACTTCCGGTGCGAGGGGGTAGGAGAAGTAAGACTAAGAGTCGTTGATTCCAGTGTTGTTGATACGGAAAACGCGTTGTCTTGGTTACAGCTGAACGTCACTTCCGGAACCACCTGTTTGGCACACAGGGTTGCCAGCTTATTAACAATTGCTAGAACTGCTTCCCCTTCGATAGCCGGGGTCTGTGGCCCTTGTTTCACGTCGTGTTTTCGAGAAACTTCGGCCTTCAATCTAGAACTGTCGGTTATGTCTAGGTTTTGCCCGTAAATCTCCTGCCCTTCGTGTCTCGTGTAACGGAATAAAACCGCTTTATCCCTCCGACTGAGTCGATGCACGGCCCTCTGTAGTTGCTGCTGGGTCAGATTGCGTCCAATAGTCTTGTTATAATATTTCTTGGTACGAACGATTCTCTTTAGTACAGCATTTCTTTGTTGCCGTTGTGAACGAGAGTCCAGCATTTTTTCTGTCATCACAGAACATAACTGAGACCCACAGTTCCTTTCCAACCGTGCTGGTTTTGAATTCGAATGATTATTTTTCGTACCATCCATATTTGTAGCGAGAACCATTTTGGGGATGTTCGTCTTTTTCTCTTTTTTCTCCGATCGATATAAGACACTCCTGTGGCGTTTCCGGAAAGAGGTGAAATTGTCTATTTCTGAAAACACTAATTCCATTGCAACATATTGCTGATTACTCCCCTTGATAACACTGGGGTGTCGCCTCATAACAGCCTGGTCTGGAGACAGACGATTGACAGACTGGCCTGAAGAACTCAACAAGCTTTTATCCTGGTTTTCTGACAATGCTTTTGGTGAATGGCAAAGTATTTTGGGATCAAAATCTATACAGTTTTTTCTTCCAACCACTCTGTCGTGTTCTTTGTAAACATTTACGGTCTCATTTGATATTCGTGAAGGAGCAATCTGTGCTAGGTTATTAGCGCCACTGATCGTACACGAAGTCGAGTCAGAGGAAACGCTGACGCAGTCTAAGTACTCAGACTCCTCGTCTGCGCATGTCACGCCGGCAGGCGTGGGGGCGTCTGAGAAGCAGCTCTGTCTTCTGTTACTTAACTCTCGCAAGACGTGGTCCGTTCTAGAGGCCGGGTCAAGGGTTGTTGGATGACGCTCTTCCAGGTCGGCCGTCTGGTGGGATTCCTGTTTCTTGCTTATCTCTGAGCCTGACAGGGTCTTGATAGCGGCGCTATTGCAAGTATCAAATAGCGTTTGTACCAGATTACTGCTGAATACGGCTTCCATCGCGGCGACAGCTGAACAGGTATGTTGTTGTGTATAAATATATCCTATACACACACATTGGTGCGACTTTTTAAAATCTAATTTTTGGTGTGCATAGCTACCAAGACCAGGCAATTATCTGAAGGCTCAGGAATGTAATCTGACTCCATTCCGGACAACTCCTCAAAGATAAAACGCCATGTAATCTGGGTAAAAATAGACGTGTTGTCATATTCATCCTTCACAGAAATCTTATCATAATGTTTACGTCACTTTAGTACCCTTTCAGCAGCTACTCTAATTTCTTTTTCTGAATCTTCTTCAGCATAAGGGAAATAACTCATGAATCTGATTATGTCGTAAATAAATCCTTCCCGTCTCCCCATGTAAGAGCGATAAACCTGTCTAACCTATGACGAATTCCAGCATTTCCGAACTTGTTGACCTCTCCTAAGAAGGGATGTTGTTTTTGTACAGACAGCTGGCATTGTTCATGATAATTCTTTAGTATTCTCCCATTTCTACTTTACTGTGAAATATTCTAGCTTTTTGTCTCTGTTTTGCTTCGTTTAGTTTTCTTTATTGTTATTTTTTAAAGTAAAACTTAAACCTTAGATTACTTGCATTTATTGCCCTTCTTGGCGGCTTTCCGTTACGTATGATTCTTATCATAATTATCTACTTTCTGCTTTCAACTTACTTTCAGATGTTTCGCAGTCACGCCTACTGTCTAATAATGGTTCTTTTTGTCCGCAATTTGTAAACTCGGTGGCAATTTCAAAAGATAAGTTCTGAAAAGGAGTTCTTCTACTGTCCTTCATATCAGAATATTTTCAGTGTGAGGATGGTGTACAAATGAAAATATACATGTAGACTCATATAGCTTGTCCATACTTGATGAAATGAGATCATGTTTGTGAACGCCGCCATACTAGTTCTACTTCTAGATAACTTCCGGTTGTCGGGAGAGCACAGTAGTGCACGCCGCTGTACGGAAGAAAGGACTATTCAGCCACCCTCCAATCCAAAAGACTTACACCGAGGTGCGCATTTCATTGTCTCCAGAGAAAAAAGGATGCCAACAACGTAACAACCCCTGTGTACAGTGCATCTAGTTTTTGTTTTAGTAAAAGTTTTACAACACTTGCAACATATTTAGGTCAAATAAGTGCCAAAGATTAGAATAAGTGTCACAAGGGAGTAAAGATACAAAAAAGATGGAGGAGAAATGAGGACGATAGATGTTTGGATAGTATATCTAGTCATGAACGATGTGCTGAGTCAACATTCGCCCTGACTGAGCTCCAAAGCACAAGATCATCATTCGCCTCGTCTGAGCTTCGAAGCAAAATATTACCATACATAGTTGCAATCTCATTCCTAGGAGAAGAGAAACACAGCCACATGTGCGGACCAGTCCGACGGATCTCCAACCAGATTATGGTGGAGACTATAAGCAGACAGACTCTGGAATGGATCCTGAAGAGGGAGGGGGAGCAAGGATGGACATGTTCTGACTGCAGTGACCCCAACACAGTGGACAGGCAAGACAAGTAAGTAAATAATCTCATTCCTACTGCCTGATTTCAGGACAGGTATAACTCCCTGTAAGGGAGGATAACTTCCAAGACTGGACAGCCGAGGAGCTGCAGGACACACGGAGGAAAGCAGAGAGCCGAAAGGAGTGATTGAGATTTGTTGTCATCTGTCAGAGTCAGAGGCGACCCAACGGATGATAAATCTACGAGAGCGGAAGAAGATAACCCCTTAACACACATAGATTGGTTGTTGGTGTGGGGTTTTGTGGTTTATTTTATGCCAGAAAAAACAACCTTCTTTTGGCATTTGCGATGTTGTGTTCCACTCACCTTAGATTGGTCCAGACAGGCAGTATCGAAACTGTGTGCCTTCGCATTTACGACATAAATATTCTGAATTATGTCGATAAAGCGCAAAAATATTATAATACAATTATTACAATCTCAGCGCGCTTCCCTCCCCCACCCCCCCCCCCCCCCCCCCGCCCTTTTTTTATCGGAACAAATTTTTAATAATAATAGTTATGCGGATAAACCAAGCGAAAAGAAGAAAGTGTAGATGAGTAGACATTACATTGTTTGGGTTATCCGGCAGACTGGTGTTTGTCACTTTGACATTGCAACATTGCATGCAGAAAACCTGGGTTCGATTCAGTTGTGGGGAGAATTCTATTGAGTATTTCGTTCTTGGTGCTGTGACGAAATATCCCTCTCATCCCAGGTTGGCCCTAACAGGCAGTGTCAAAGTCCGCTTCCTAAAAGGTCAAAACGTGTCGATAGGGGTAAAAAAAACCCAAAAAAACACGTGCATTAGAAAGAAAAACAGTAATGTCACGTAAGATTAAGAGAGAGAGAGAGAGAGAGAGAGAGACAGACAGACAGACAGACAGACAGACAGACAGACAGACAGACAGACAGACAGACAGAGAAGAGGTGAGAGGTGGAACATACCACTCTGAGGCAAAATGAGTAGGACAAAATTAAATAAAAACTTCTGCTGTCCTAAACATTTCTAAATACATGTATAACAAAACTCAGTCAAGGAAAGGCGACAAAGAATAATGTAGATCTATCTCATTTTTTCGCTCAAATTATTATCATATAAACTTTTTCTCTAAACAGGAAAAAATATAGAATTGAAAGGCAAAGAACACCGTAAATCATTTTCATTCGTAAATCGTTATTATGTTTATTGAAATTCAATTTAAGAAAAACAAAGTGAAAAGAATATAATTTTTTACATTTAGGTTGCTGAACAATTCTCCTGCTCACTTTCCCCCTTTGGACACAAGAGAAAGTTATGATAGCAATGTTTTACGCCCCCAATGACAAAGATTAGACCATTTAGGAGGTAGGCTATTTCGACTCTGCCTGTCAGGACTAGCCCACGCAGAGTGGAATCCATCATTCTAGTGGAAAGACGAAGATACTCGTTACAAATCGACTTCCCCAGCGTGTAAACTGTACTAACAATTGTGTTCGCCTAGGGAAGAGCTGAAATCTGTACACCACAGTCGCTTGTTTTTACTTTTAAGATACCATCAATTTGCTTTCGCCATATTTCTACGTTGCATTTAGAGTGTCAATGTTCTTATTCATCAACATTTTATAGATACACCGTTCTATAATGATGATAATGATGATAATGATAAGGATGATAAGGAAGATAAGGATGATAAGGCTCGTGATGAATATTATGATGATGGTGATGGTTACTATTTCATAAATAATTTTGTATCTTCATCCTCCGCCTCCTCCTCATCATCATCATCGTCATCATCCTTGATACTCGATTTCCCCATCTCTCACAAACTTCCCACTTCACTGATTCAGACCGACCAAAATGAAGTTTTGAAACAGGACACATTCGCTCTCAACTCCATGTCCTGAACTTAAGTTTTAATGATGCAAGATACACAATGTTAATAGACTTTTAGTTTCGGGGCCTATCAATGCTATTTTGAGATCGCACACATAATGGCATTCACCTAGTTTGGTAATATCGCAATGATCAAGGAAGAAAAATGGCCAGCTATTGACAGATGCTCAAATTATTACAGATGTCTAACACCACAATCGACACTACAGAGATAACTGTGGGGACACCCGGGTCAGGCTTCTTCGGCCATACCTCTCAGAGCTAATCCTGGTTTTGATGCGGGATACATTCGAGCAGAACGGTGGATACACTCAATGAACACGCCACTATTTATTTACTGCGTTACTCTGAGGAGCATGACAAACCAGCAAACAGCGAAGAAGGCTACAAAGGTAGCGATTGGTCGCCTCATGTCGGGCCACACAGACTTCATGAATTGCGTATAGCTCGATACTTGCATTGCTATCAGACCGTTGTTCTTCGGGAGCTCATCAATATGGGAAGGACATGCTCCCCTATCCGCGCTCACCATCTCCGTCAGCGAGCTCTGGGTGCCTAGAGAAACTTTATGCTCTATTTTTCTATCTATAATAATATTCGGTGTCCCTCGAAACTGTCCCACGCTCGGCCACTCGTCCATCGTGTTGTTTAAGCATCGAAGAGTCTCCGAGGCTCCTCGTTTGTATGGGCTGAACTCTGACCTTAGCGGAGAACGACGGAACCTCCCGGCCCCGACCATGGCGTCGAGAGACGACGCGCCCGTCTCGAACATGAACCTTTCCGGTGACAGGGGCTCGCGTTCAGCCACCTGTATACCCCGGGCGGCCCCAGACAGAGTCGATCCCCTCCAGCGACGGAAGAAGTCTGTCCCGGCAGACGTTGAATCCAGCGTCTTCGTGTTGTTCAGGCGAGACATAACACCCAAGTGGCCTTCTCGATATTTAGAGAAGAGAAAGGGTCTACTTCTGGGTACTGTTGGAAACTGTCGTGAGTTAAAGCCCCGATACTCGTTTAGAAACAGTCTTTCTCGCCCAAGATTGTCTTCATCGCCCAGTTTCTGGGGTATGTCGAGCTTGGACATCAGTCGATTCGAACTCAACCACCTGCTTCCAAGACGCCTACCAAAATGTCTATTATCTAACTGGTCGTTAAAGGACAATCGAGGAGTATAGCCTTCATATAAAGCTTCTGTTGGCTTGTTGAGTGGGCTGCCGAGATCACGTGTTTTAGTCGCTTGGCGATCTGAGGGCGGTACAAGCCTCGAACGAAAACCTGCCCCAGACCTCCTCAACGACTCTTGCCTCCTCGTGTCCTCGATTTTGGCGTCTGGGGAGCGCAGCCTGAAAGTGGAACACGCATATCCCCGGCAAGAGGTGGCGCCCTCTTCGGTTGTGGCATCTGCTCGCCAAGCGCTGTTTTTCTCTGATTTGTCCACTAGCGGGTGGGTGGAGCGATTTAAGCCACAGTAGCCGCCCCCTTCTCCGCCTCTTTGTGGTGGTCTGCTCGCTTCTCCTGTAGTGCGAGCTCTGGGCTGTGGCAAGCTCTCGGCTTTTCTTGGCGACGTCCATGTTGAACCACCTCTTACAGACATCGATCTTTGACCTCGACCAAGTGCATTAAGACCTTCAAGACTTTCTCCTCTCCCTTCAGTTTGTTTGATTCCGGCAGGGTCTTGTCTCTTGTCATTTGTTTCCTCATTTTCTCTCGATTTCCTAGTATCTCGTAGAGAATCCAAAGAGCTACCACGAAGACCGCGTATTTTGGACGAATCGTGTTTGAACTGTGTAGTTTTCCGTTTCTTCCTATTTGAACTGCTAACTTTCTTCCAATCACAAGATTCGAACTTGGGATCATCACCAGAATCTGCTGTAATCATCTGTCCGCTGTTGATGTCTTCAAACTTCACCGTCACCACCGTTAGATCACTCCCAGATTCAGTCTTTTGCGTGGAAGACAGGAATGACTCTTGATTGTCTCCAGAAGAGTCGAATATGTAGCCCTGGGGTCCCGGGAGAACGGGGATTTTGTTCGCATAACCAGCAATGGCGTCACTCTCTTTCCCAGCCTCTTTCCAACGCTTAGCGAGAGTATCTTCACAATTATTCCGAACTGGGGGCTTTTTTGTCGCCTCTCCGTCATGTTGCTCTGTATCAGTCTCCGAGCTTTGTAGTGTTGACGACTCATATTCTGAGTGTACCTTCAGATATATTCCAGAGCTTTTGCTCTTCTGTTTGGCATCACCGGACACCGCTTTCCTTCGCTTAGTCTTCAGCAAAGGTATACTCCTTGCCTTGTTTGCGAGCGATTTCTCTGCCTTTAGGCCAGAGGGGAACAACATTTTCCTATTGTTACGGTTACCTTTTCCAGAGAGACCTTGGCCTGTTGAGCCCCAGCTCCCTGGGGTGTGTTGTGCTGGAGCACGAGCTCCAATGTTGAAATATTTACTTGATCCGAGGTTTCGTGTTTGTCTACGTCCGGTCGGTGCGGGTTGTGCAATGTCTGTGAAATGTTTACTAGAGCCTTTAAACATCCTGGCCAGTTCAACAACTTCCGACACGCTCTTGTCGCTGGCAAATTCATTCTCCGACTCTGAGGACTTTCCTGTCTCACTTTTTGTTTCCTCTTCTTGTACGCCATCTAATTTGTTGCCAAAATAGAAAGACCCCAAAGCGATCTTGTCTTTTTCCAGCATGTCGTCGGTGCTAAAACCGGAAGGAAGGCAACAGATTTGTCTAACTGGATGCGTGTCCCCACTCCCCTCTTTGAGAGCCTGAAAGACTTGCTGACGACTAGCACGAGCCTCGTTTCGAGTGTTTCTTTTTGCAGAGTTGTTCACGTGACCATTTCCGTCACAGTTCTGGCTATTTGTGGCCTCTGCTACAGCTACCCTGTGTTTGACAAGCTTATTTTGTTTGCTGTCCGCAGCACTAATTTTCCTGGCGAGTCGGATCATAGCAATTTTGTTATCATCTGAGAGAGCAGCAGATCTTCCTTCTTGGAAATC